GCACACCTGGTCGACCGTCTCCTTGATTTTCCGGAGCCCAACGTTCAGGTGCATCTGCTGCTCCTCGAGCTCGCTCCGCTTCTCATTGAACAGGTTGGCGTAGTGGTTGATGAAGTCCAAGTAGTGGCGCGGGGTGATGGCCATCGTCCTGCCACCGCGTTTGGCCAGCCGAGCGTTAGCCTTTCGAGAATCAAAAAAGGGACATTTTTTATCCTTCAGGACACTTGTCACCATTTAACTTCAGAAGCCTGTCAGCTCACATGATGCAGCGGAAGGAACCCAGCCCTCAGGAATCAGACCCTGTTCTCTACAGGCCCTCAGGAAGGAGTCACAACTCTGTTCTCTACAGGCCCTCAGGAAGCCCTCAGCCCCTTGGGCCTTTTCCTGGGACTTCCCCTAGGCTGAAGGCGATGGCCTGCCAACCTCCTGGCTGTTACAAGGCTGGACAGACGTTCATGATGGACAATGCTAGTACTGCTCATGGTACTGTTTATTGCTTAATTCAAAGTGAGCCAGCTGAGCAAAGGCAAGGGGGCAAGTGGTACGGGAGCAGGGCCAAGGCTCAGTCCAGCCCAGGGGGCTGGGGCCAACCATGTCCCTGAGGACATGCAAGTGCATGGGGCAGGTGGAGCAGAGGCCAGTAGGACATCCACAAGCTCAGAGAGGTCTTTAAGAAGCTTACGTGCAGATGGGAGCAGACTGGTCCCTTGTCACACAGAGTTAGAGCAGCCTCGGTAAACCTGAGCCGGCAGGCCAAGTCTGCCCAGAATGTTTTTATGAATGAAGCTGGGCTGGCGTGCTGCCACGTCCACTGCTTACAAACTGTCTATGGCCGCTATTGATGGGGGACAGCTGACTCGGAGTAGTAGTGACAGGGAGCAGGACATCTGCCGTCCAGTCCTTTACAGAAAGTGTGTTGCACTACCACAGTGAGTTCGGACCACACACTCCTTCACCAGGAGGGGCAGTAGGAAGCCAGACGCAGGGAGGTGGGTCAGTGGAGGCAGTAAAAGGGTTAGGTGACTCCAGGCCGTGCAGCCCAGTGACAAGAGCAATGTCATTGACAGAGGTAAGGAAACAGCTGGGAAGCAGGTATTTCTGAGGTGGGGGATGGTGTGGGCCCAGACAGCACCCGAAGCCCTGCTGCTCAGCCAGGCCTGCTGCTTCCCCACCCATCTGAGACCTGAACCCACCTGGTGAAGCGTCTGGTGCACAAACACACAGCTGTTCACGATGGCCTCCCGATGGGATGGTGGCTGCGGCAGTTTGTCGTACACGACAGGCATGTAGTCGGGGACGACGTAGTTTGGCTTCTCCAGGTCCATTTTACTGGTGAATTCTTTGCCAACCTGGTAAAGCGCCTCCGTGGACCAGTCTCCAAACCAGTTCAACACACACCTGGAAAAGATGGTGGTCTCAGAACACCTACCGGAGGGGCCCACCCCATGGAGAGAGCAGCCCAGTGTCCTGACTCTGAGCCGGGCACGGGAGTCACCTGTTGAAAAGCGCCGGTGAAGTGGCCGCCCGGTCCTTGAGGCCCTCAGACGACGGGTTCATGGTGAACACGACGTGGAGGTTGCGGATGACCTGGCTGGTGAACCACTTGTACAGCTCCTCGTGCGAGTCCAGCATCAGGCCCTCCTTCTGCGCCCCCTCTTTACACTGGGTCATCAGGGTGGCATACTCGTCCCCTTCGAAGAGACCAGGCACCTACGGGAGTCCACCCCCACTGTCATCTACTGGCCGGGAACGGGGCCACGGAACGCGCAGTGCGCTGCCCCATGTTGCCTGGTTACCTCTCCGTTGGCCAGAAGGGTGTTCATTCGCTCCAGGAAGCCGGAGTCCAGCACGTTGGATTCATCCATTATAAAGGCTATTTTTTCATTTTTACACCCAGAACGTCTCAACACTGTCCGAAGATCTTCATCAAAATCCTCCCCTGTGTACTTTCTATGGACCTACGGGAGCAGATGGCAAGTCAGGTCCTTTCTCATTCGTGGGGGTCAGGTGCCTGAACCAAGTGTCTGCTGGTAGGAGCAAGAGGCCACAGAGCAGACCCACCTTAATCTGGTACACACTCAGGCCGTTCATCCAGGCAACAAAGCGTGACAGGGTCGTTTTTCCTGCTCCGCTAACGCCAATCAGAAGCAAGTGGCCTTGAGGTTGACGGAATATTCTGAAACATTAACAGAGGGGATAAATTACCAGGCTTTTAGACCTGTGCCACTTTTGACACTGGTGTCCTAAACGCTTCTATGATTTTGTCTATATTTTAATTTGAACATGTCTGTTGAGCAACTGTTATTTGCCAGGACCAGTGGGGACACAACGATCAGTAAGAAATGGTCCTGCCTGCCAGACACATGGTATCAGAAACAAACCCAATTCTAATGTGGGGATCACAGACTGTAATTACAGTCAGTATCATGTACCAAGAGGAGGAGGAGTAGATGTGCTTGGAAGCGGAGGTAGAACAGACTTAGAAAGAAGGGTCAAGGCTGCCATTTGGTGGAGGGGGCTGAGTGGAGCCGGGGAAGGGCAGCAGCAGGCAGCCCGGCCCGGCCCACGCTGAACCACAGCAGCTGAGCCAAGTGGAGAGGCTGGAACAAGTGCCCACCCACCGGTCAATCCGGAGCACGTGGTCTAAGACCTCATTAAACAGGACCAGCGGGACATCAAGTTCTTCTTCATAGAAGACTTTCAACCTTGCTTTGACATAATCTCTTAACTCTTCTTGGTCTACTGGGATGTAATCCTACAGAAAAGAAAAAAAAAAACACAACACACCCAAATCTCTCAGGATGAGTTATTAGACCAATGTCAATCATATCATATCTCTACACATTGTAAACAGTCTGAAAAATGTAACAAAAAAGATAACATTTGCAGCAAAGCAATAAAAACATAAGTAGAAATGGATCTAAAAATTTGCAAAGTCTTTGTAGAGAACACTGAACCTCACCGAAAGACTTTTCAGAGAAGACCAAAATACGTAAAATATACCACAATCACAGGTAGAGGAACTGCTGCGAAATGCCATGTCCACCTAGACTGACAGAATCAGGGTGACCCCAATTGCAACAGGTATGATGGCTGTGGTCACTTCCACACGACCTCATGAGCCTGCTCTAAATTTCAGCTGGAAGAGGGAAGGGCCAAGGAGGGCATGGGTCCTGCTGAGAAGAACCCGGCGTGTAGGCCCGCCCTCCCAGACAGACCCAGTGCAGCGCCGGGCCGAGAGGCAGCACTCTGGCCCAGGCAGAGCCAGCGGCAGACACACACACGCAGGGACACTGCTGTGAAAGAGTGGCACTGCAGAGCAATAAGCAAGGGGCGTTCAATCAACAGTGCTGCCCAAGAGGTGCCCATGAGAACAAAGTGACAACAGTCCACAGCTTGTTCCACACACAGACTCAATGATGGGCAGATGGAGGGTTTAAATATAAATGATGGCACTTTAAGAAACTTTGTTCCTCAAAAGACCCTGTGTATCAAGGGAGTGAGAAGACAAGCGACTACGGAAAACTGCCTCTGAGTGAAGAGTCAGCACTGAGTCCAGCGTGTGTGGAGAACCCACCACCACCGGCCAACCTGCCCATCAGGCCTCTGCCCGGCTTGTTCTCCTGACGCTGCTGCAGACCGAGGCCTTCAAAGCCCACGTGGGGCCATTTCTGTCAGAGACGGACGTCTCTTCCCTGTGCCCTACTAGCCGTGAGCTCCTGCAAGGGGACCCTACTCCTGTCTGTACCCACGTGCTTGGGGTGGTGCAGGTACTACGTGAAGGTTCATGACCTGAGACACTGCCTCACGGTGACCCCGACTGCTGCAGAGAACTCACTTCGTACAGTGTTCAGTGGTAGATTTTTCCACCAGAAGCAGCTCTCTAGGCCTTTCTCCCACAGCACCTCTGGGGGTACACAAACCTGTAACCTTCTGGTTCGCAGCCCAATGCTAACTATCAGCAACCCCCCAGGGACTTCAACTGACTAAATGTGTCCTAGGTTCCTTTTCAGAGACAAAGAAAAGTCACTACTGTTCTGGAAATGTCAACTGTTTAGTATTTTAGTACACAAAACGTTTTCCTACGAATTTTTACTGTGAGGAAAGTGAGATGAGGCCAAGCCTTGCTCCTGGAGGGTGTGCGGAAGCTGTCTCCCTCCGGTTGGAGACCACGCTCCGTGGAGCCCACCACACAGGAGCAGCCCATGGCGGGCCAGCCCTTCCCTGCTTGCTGCTAGGATTTCCTGCCCTGAGTCCTCAAAGCTGTGCAGCCAGCACCGTGTGCGGGCGCAGCTGCACTCACAAGCACGTCAGGACAGAGATGTTGGTTAGAAGGCACTTCTCACTCAAGGGGTGGGAGCAAGGAAGCATTCCCACGTGGAGGTGACATGTTACCTTCGACAGCCAGTTGCTGTACAGGATGGGCCGGCTCATGGCCTTCTCCTTGTCTATGTTGGGGAAGTGCTTCAGAGCGACCATGTCGATGTTTTCGTCGGTCCAGCGCCGCTCCTCATCCTCGACAAGCCTGAGGAAGAAAAGCAGCATCTGCCTGAGAACCTGACGGAGCCTGGCGGGAGCCTGGGTGACGGCTGCCACGTGGGAGGAAGCTCTTCATCTGGAGGGAACCATGGGGCCTGGCTTCTCCCAGGAGAATAGCCAGAACTACCTAGGACCGGGGGAGCTCTGGTGGCGTAGTGCCTAAGGCACCTGACTGCTAACCAGAAGGCTGGAGGTTAAAACCCACCAGCCACCCCTCGGAAAGAAGGTTGGACAATCTACTTCCATAGTGATACTGCCTCAGAAACCCAAGGAGAGGTCGCTATGAGTCGGGGCCGACTTGACGGCACACAACACCACCACCACCACCTAGGACTGAGTACCTAACGTAAGTGCCTTGTCTCACTGGACACACATGCTCTTCTGGTCGACAGGCCACCAGAGATGTGTCGCATCAGCCGGGGCCCGGACCGGCCTCACCACCAGACACCCTGCCCCCTGGCTCCAGTCCTTCAGCCCTGCTTGCTGTCCTGGTGACCTGGTCACGGGCAGAGCACTTGCCCTGACGATTCACAACAGGAAACTGGGCTGCACTGACGGTGAATCAGTTACGATTTACTGTCCAAGTTCAGAGTTAAAGCAACACAAATGTCACGTCTGCCTGACCACAGGTGAGCCTAAAAGATGCCAAAGGCCTACGGTGCCAACATGCGTGCAACAAAAAGTGGAAGGGAGGAAACAGAAAATATGACAGGCAGAGCGAGAAAAGTGAGGAGTTTATTCTAAAACAAGGACCATACTGAGTGATGAAGAAGGCAAGGCTTCAATGCAAGACTCAAAGATTCCCCAGGTTCCCCGATGCTAAAAAGACTCATCTTTTACCATGAGACTCACTGTGAGTCAATGACCAACTCTTCAGGGATCATCACAGATCACTTGAGCCACTGAGCCTTCTTTAACAACTAGCACTTAACTCTAGAAAAACCCGCTGTTTACAAGGCAATGGTTGATGGGAGTAGCCAACAAGTTAAGAGAGAACCACTGTCCTGGGGGCACAGCCGTGAGCTCTCAGATGGAAACAGACCAAGATGGAGGGATGGGGGCATGAAGCACACATATGAGGCCCATCAATTCACCCGTGAAGGCCAGCAAACGTGGCGCCTCTCAACAGCTAAAGAGGACACAGGTCTTTCCCTCTGCCGGGCCCAAGGCCACGCCACAGCACAGAGAGGGGGCTCACAGTCCTGCAGCCCATTATACTGGGGCGGCCATGATTAGTTTCAAGATGAAGCATGGCCCATGTGGCCTCCCCACTCTCCCATCACAAGCAGCACCTGGCTCAGGCTGTGGCAGGCCATCACTCCAGGCTGTAAGACCTGGGAGCAGGGGAGAAAACATGGCTAGGGCTCCCTGGCTTTCCTCACCTGTCCTGGAAGAGACGGAGGGCTTCATGTGCCCAAATCCGAATCAGGCCTTCGACCGGCAGCGTCTCCAGAGGCCTCAGAGCTTCAAAGATGCCCCTCACCCATCTCGTCATCTCACGGGGTGAGTAGATGTAATGGGGCTGTGTGTCCTGGGTGAACCTCTCCTGTGGGGACAGGAAGATAGTAGTTACGTGTACATGTCTAAAGACGTGAACAAACGATAACAAGGACAATACTGCATGAGATGTTTATGTTAAGGATAGAGAACATACTACAAGAAAAGATATTCATAGGCCACTATCTCCCATGCACATAGATGCAAAAATCTTCAACAAAATACACATGAGCAGAATCCAACAGCATATTAAGAGTCACACATCATGACCACATGGGATTTATTCCAGGAATGCACGGATGGTCTAACATTAGGAAATCAATTAATGTAACACACCACATTCATAGAACAAAGGAAAAGAACCACATGATCATCTCTATAGGTGCAGAAAAACCATGTGATAAAACCCAACAGCCTTTCTTGATGAAAACCCCAAAGAAGATTAGAATAGAAGGGAAGTTCCTGAATATGACCCAGGGCATGTGTGAAAAGCCAGCCACCAACATCATACTTAGTGGGGAAAAACTGAGAGCTCTCCCCTCAAAATCAGGAACAAGAGAAGGGGGCCACTCTCACCGCTTCCATTCAATATTGTTACTAGAAGTCCTGGCCAGAGCAAAGACAAGAAAAAGAAATAAAAAGTACTCACATTGGGAAAGAAGGAGTAAAGTCATCTCTCTTCATGGATGATGCGATCTTATACACAGAGAACCCCACAGAGTCCATAAGAAAACTTGTAGAGCTAATAGAGGCATTTAGGGGACTTCCGGTAAGATGGAGGACTAGGCAGACAAGCAACACAGACCCTCTTCAACAAAGAAAAGAAAAACCAATTGACAAAGATACAGAAGATAATCCTGGAACCCTGAGCTTGGACAGGAACTATACAGCATTGGATTAGGCACCAACTAGTGGAAAAACCTGAATGAAAACAGTGAGAACAGAGACGGTCAGAGCTGCAGACTGTCAGAGCTACTTTGACGAGACCAACAGCCTAAATATTTCCAAGTGATGCTGGGACCTGAGAATTGACCTAAAGATCAGTCCCAGTCACCAAGGGCAACAGGGACAACTGCTCTGGAGGCCTAAGACTAGGAAGGCAAACAGCAAGGAAGGAGACAACCTGAGCTGTGGACTTTCTGCTGTCCGGAGGGCACAGCCATTTTGATCATTTACACGTGGCAGCCATTTTGGATATTTACAAGTGGCAGTCATTTTAAATTTTAAAATGATAGCATTCTCATTCGGATTCCAGGGACCTAAGAACAGGCTCTGTTTGCCAGGGTTGGCAAGGACATACGAGAGGCTGACAGAAGAAAGGAGACAGGTGGTGAGTGTATAAGTGCTGTCAACTAGTGAGTAGAGAACAGAGCACAGCACCTTGCCTGTATAGGTAACATACAAAGAAAACGAAAGTTGTGGGCAAGTCACTCCCACATATAATCACCAATTAAATATAAACACAAAAACGTCACAATGCCTCAGAGACAACAGAGCATCACAGTCCACACAAAGAAGCAACACAACGCAGGAGAAACAAGGGACCACGATACAGACCCAAAACACATCCCTGAGGAAGACGCAGCATTGGAACTCCCTCATAAAAAATTCAAAAGAATTGTATTTAGGTATCTTCAAGGGTTTGAGAGACAGACCAAGGAAAACACAGACAAAACTGTAGAAGAATTTTGGAAGAAAATACAAGTACAAAATGACAAAATAAGTGAAAGATTAGAAATGATTCTAAATCTATGGATAGAAATCCAGAAGATTAATACTAAATTGTCAGAAATAGACAACACATTAAAAGGGCAAAGGAGTAGAATCGATGCGATGGAAAACAGAATTAACGAGATTGAAGACAAATATCTGAATACTTCTTTGGAAAGGGATCAATCAGAAAAAAGATCAAAACAAAATGAAGCCTAAGGTTCATGTGGGATACCATCAAAAGGAATAACCTACATGTCATTGGAATTCCAGAACAGGAAGAGAAAAATGAAACCACTGAGAAAATTGTCCAAGATTTGTTGGAGGAGAACTTCCCTGATATGATGAAAGATGAAAATATATCCATTCAGTAAGTCCAACGAATCCCAAACAGGATAGGCTCCAAAAGAAAAACACCAAGACATATCATCATCAAACTCACCAAAACCAAAGATGAAGAATCATGAGAGCAGCACGGGAAAAATGAAAAGTTACCCACAAGGGACAACCAATAAAACTAAGCTCAGATTTCTCGACAGAAACCATACAGGCGAGAAAACAGTGGGATGGTATATATAAAACACTGAAAGAGAAAAATTTCCAACCAAGAATTATGTACCCAGCAACACTGTCCCTCAAATATGATGGCGAAATTAGGACATTTCCAGATAAGCAGAAATGAAGGGAATTTGTTAAAACCAGACCAACCTTACAAGAGACACTAAAGGGAGCCCTTTGGACAGAGAAGCAACAATAGTCAACAACAACTGACCATGATGATATAACCCAGAAACCAACCCACCTATGGAAGTATCCAAAGTAAATAAGCCCACAAGACTGTAAACAGGGAACTAGAGACACCAACTGACAAATGAGGACTATTACAAATCAAAAAGAGGGAAAACAATCTGTGTCATTACAGAACTTCTAGATGGTAGGGAAGTCAAGACAACTACAAGATAGAATGGACTGTTCTAAACTTGGGAAGAAAACTACAAATCACAGGGTAACCTCAAAGAAAAAATGATAAACCTTCACATCAAAATAAAAAAGAGGACCAGCATAAATATTCACAGACACTAAAACAACAGCAATGAAGGAAGTGATAATATGATTCATAAAACAAAACGAGCTCAGCATAGAAAATGATATAGAACAAAGAAATCGACACAATGAAAAAGTACATGACAAAAATGACAGCAACAAATTCATATCTGTTGATAATTACATATCTGGCAAGGGACTTATCTCTAAGATTGATGGAAAACTCCAACACCTCAACACCAAAGGAATTAACGATCCAATTGAAAAATGGGCAGAAGACATGAATACTTCACCAAGGAGGATATTCAGGTGTCAGCTAATACATCAAAAGATGCTCACAATCATTGGCCATCAGAGAGATGTAAATCAAAACAACAGTGAGATATACCATCTCACCCCAGCACTGATGGCAAGGTTCAATGAGATAGAAAATAACAAATGCTGGTGGGGATGTGGAGAGATTAGGACTCTCATACACTGTTTGTGTGACTGTGAAGTGACACAACCACTGTGGAAAGCAATATGGCGATTCCTTAGAAAGCTGGAATTGGAGAATACCATTTGACCCAGCAATCCCATTACTAGGTATATATCCTAGAGAGGTGAGAACCAGGACAGGAACAGATACATGCACACTCATGTTCATTGCAGCACTATTTACAATAGTAGAAAGATGGAAACAGTCTATGTGTCCATCAGCGGAAGAATGGATGACCAAACTATGGTTTATACACATACTAGAATGCTACGCAGCATTAAAGAATAATGTATAATATGGAACACTGCATAATATGGATGAACTTGGAGAACATTATGCTGAGTGAAATAAGTCAATCACAGAAGAACAAATATAGTATTAGTTTGTTGTTGTGGGGGGTCAAGGAAAGGTTTAATATATGGAGGGAAACTTTCTTTGTTGGTTGCCAGAGGTGGGAAGGGAGGGGAGAGAACACTGCAAAAGCAAAAAAAAAAAGCTATAAAAAAATTAGAGCTAACAGAGGCATTTAGCAAAGCTGCAGGTACAACACACAGATCAGCTGGCTTTCTATACACCAGCAGTGACAAAAGCGAAAGGGAAATCAGGGACACAGTTCCATTTACAGTAGCATCCAACAGAATAAAATACGTAGAAACAAATCCAGCTAGGGACACGAAGGACTTTTAGAAAATGATAAAACACTGCTACAAAAGATTCAAGACTTAAATAAATGGAAAGATGTTCCATGTTCATGGATTGGAAGACTTGGCATTGTTAAGATGTCAATTGCACCCAAAGTGATCTACAGATTCAACGCAATCCCAACCAAATTCCAACAGTACTCGAAATAGAAAAACCAATCCTCGACTTTATATGGAATGGCAAGATGCCTCAAATCGCTAAAGCAACGTTGAAAGAGAAGAACAAAGCAGGAGGAGTCACACTTCCTGATTATAAATCACACTATACAGCTACAGTAATCACAACAGCCCGGTACTGGTGAAACAGTAAACACAGACCAACGGAACAGAACTGAGAGTCCCAAAACAATCCCACACATCCATGGCCAACTGCTGTTTGATAAGGATGCTGAGTCCTTCGATCAACTCAGTGAAGGCGGGGAGTGCAGCTGCACCCAGAGAACAGAATCACTGTCACAGATGCATGTGGGGAAACTGCCGGACTGCTGTCTGCTTTGCTGCGCGTATTCTCAACAACAAATAAACAAAACTTCGGGGAAAAAAAAAGAATGCAGAGCCTGGAATATTTAAGGACCAATTGGGAAATGTCAGGACAACTGTCCCAGAAAAGTCACCCACCAGCTGCTTGTTCATACAAAGATAAAGGCATCTAAGTGTTGGAAATTAAAACTATGAAAATTCTGACAGCACAGATTAAAAACACGTGATTCCTAAATCGAGGGAAGACCTCTAAGCAAGAGCAACAACTGTTAATGAAAAGACCTTTGACTGCACTGACAATTGCCGGAGGAAGATGGCAACACAAAATAAATACCGGGAACAACACTGGCACCCAAAGGCAGGCCCGCTGTCACTGTCCCAAGGACAGTGACAGCAAGATGACCGTGTCCACTGGGAAAACAAGACACAGCCCAAAGGACAGTCCCCTCAGACGCCCTCATCAAGGGTGAGTATTGGAAGACAAATCCAAGAAACGCTGATTGAACCCCGAGAACCACTTCTGCACCTCCAGTGGCAAAAATGACTGTCGTTTAACTAACTTTTAGGTGTCAAGAGAGGGTCCTGGGGGAGAGGCACTGCCCTTGGTGAGAGCAGCGTGGCAGGAAGCGTGCCCCCCGAGCTGCAGAAGAGCAGGAACGGACAGGGGGTTCTGCATTAAGAGCTGCGCCTGCATCCTTCCAGAAACTGCCCGGCACAGCCTGCCTCGTGAGGGACGGAGCCCAGCAAGAGCCGGAACCAGGTCAGCCAGGTAGACACTAAGGGGCCACAGGAGGACTTTGCTGACGCGCTCCGAGGAGGCTCTTGGCCACAGGAACTCTGTCTCCGGCCCAGGTTCCTCAGTACCTGGAGGGCACGCTCTGGCCACGGGCTGTCATGCGTACCTGAGACATGGTGTAGAACTCCACCATGGCAGCTGTGAGGGGCTCGGCGTAGGTGCGCAGGGACGGGATGAGCCTTAGCATGGCCCGGTTGAAGGTGCCGTAGATCTGCGTGAGCGAGGCAGGTCCTGGGTAGTCCACATACACGACAGGCACGTGGCGTAGGAACCTGTGCAGACACAGCCTGGTCGGCCCTCCGCAGCCACCTGCTGGCCCGCATCCTGGGCGGGAATGGAGGCTGTTTCTTAACCCACCCACAGCGCCTTGTCACAGTCAGCTGAGAACACTCCTGAACTGCCACCTGGTGCCTGCCACACAGTGGACAGCAAGAAGCATGATACAGAATCAGCAAAGGCGGAGAGAGCCTAGGCTGGCTTCCGCCCCAGTGTGGCGCCACCGGCAGGTCTGACTGGCTCGTTACCACCTCTGACACCAGCACTCCTGTTTCCCAGCCTGTTCCCCTGGTGTGACAAGGGCACAGCATAGACGACCCTAGAGAATCCCTGCAATAAACTATACTCACTACCTTCTGGAAACCAGATCCATGTGAGTCTACTCTGGCTGGCAGGGTGTGTGTGTGTGTGTGTGCACGTGCGCGTGCATGCAGCCAGTAGGGCCACGGAGCCACGTGCTACCTGTGCGAGAGAGGCTTTCTTCCCGGGTCTGTGGGCGGGTTGCAGGCCCCCACAAACTGGATTCGCTCCAGCTTCACCCATGTCTGGTCAGAGGTTCGGTAAAAGCCCCCATGCTCCACCATCTGTGGGACACAGCATGGAGATGTCGTTGGGGGTGGTGAGGGGGTAAAGAGTGACAGGGGAGGGGCATGTGATGAGACCGCACCTGTCTGATGAAAGATATGACCCTCTGCGTCCCGTACTTGTCCATGTCTGGTAAGTTGATTTCATCACAGAACAACACCAGCCACTTCCCGAGCTGGACGGGAGCCAGCACCACCCCATTGGGTGTACGTCGGTACTCGCAGTAATGATCAAACGTCTTCAACAGCAGCTCGGGGGTGGTGGCGCTCGAAAAGTTGAGACCTACCACCTTTAGAGAGCAAGAAACATAATGAGCCGTTTTAAGGACAACAGTCTATTCAACCCCAACGGGCCTGCCGTCCACTGCTGGCCCTTCTCACCTCCATGTCCGGCAAGGCCCTGAGGGCGCTGAAAAGTGTCATGGTCTTGCCAGAGCCGGGAGGGCCGCACAGGACCAAGGGCTTGTGCTCAGCCAGCCATGTGTATAGGAGGGCCTCATGGCGGACGGTGTCCAGGGTGGGCACGACCACATCGGGGGCTGCGACCTTGTGCGTTTCCACCTCAATCTGTGGCACCTTGGACTGCCACGGTGACCACTCGCCACTGATGGAGACCTAAAGTGGGACAGAAGCGGGTTACTGCCACAGCCACGTGCCTCTTTAACTCCCAGGACTGCTCACTGTCAGACCGGTGCTTTCAGGAGGCCAGCTCACACTACCACCTGAAACTAAGGACAAAATCCTCATAGGAAAGGGAAACTGGAGGCTGCTACTGCTCCAGGGATGGCAACACCATGACTCGCATCATGGACAAAGGCAGCGGGCTCACCTCATAGTCGATGATGGGGACGTTGGGTGCCGTGGGCAGGGGCACAGTGGTGATTCTCCGGATGTATTCACCCAGCTCCGCCCTCATCTTCAGCCGACTGTCTCCAGACAAGGACCAGAGTATTGCATAGACCAGATAGCGCTGTGGAAGGATGAATTATGGTTTTATTTTTAAAATAAACCCTGCACAGCACAACAGCGAAAAGAGAACATGACAAAAGGAAGACATATGGCCAAGTGAACCCTGAAGAGAGCATACTGTACTCATTCTGGGACCCCAGATGCCCTCTGCCCCTCGTCCCATCCCCTTGTGGAAGCTCTCTCCCCTTCTAGGAACAAAAACGTGTCCAGGTACAAGCGTGCAGCTCTGACCTGCACATAGTGCTCCAGAGGTAGGAACGTGCCCAGGGGAGTGTGAGGCCCTGACCTGGACGCAGCGTTCCAGGGGTGAGAACAGGCCCAGGTGAGTATGCGGCCCTGACCTGGACGTAGCGCTCCAGCTGCTCAACCTGCATGGGGAAGTCGGGGTGGTTGGCATTGTACTGCGCCACGTTGCGGCAGGCCTGGTGCAGCATGGAGAAGAGCGAGCCCAGGCAGCGGAGCCGCGTCAGGTCCATGATGTGCTCCAGCTTGAAGGCGTGCTCCAAGGCCTTGGTGACCAGCCCGTTGGACGTGAAGTACGGCTGCATGATGGTGGCCGCGTCCCTCTGGATCTACAAGGGGAGATGAGTGATGCCTTTGTGACGCCTCAGAGAGGTTTCATCTCCCAACCAAGCCCCAGTGCAGGTAGCACAACCTCCAAGAAAGAACTCTGGGTGAAGCGCTGGGGGTCGATCCCCACCCCTCCTCCGGGTGGGTGCCTAGAATCACACTCCCAGCAGCACTGGCCTTCACTGTGAAAGGGGGCCAGTGCCGATGAATGCAACGGCAGCCTTTCACCAGCTTGCAGAGAAAGATAAGCTAACAGACCAACCAGCTCCCAGCCAGCTGCTGATGAGTCAACACAGACTCCTGGCGACCCAGGGTGCCAGAGGAGAGCTGTGATCCACTGGCCGCCTTTACCCACCCGTGACCCGGTCTTGTGGCTGTTCCCGCCAGCCTCCTCTGATCACGCAGAGCCTCAGTGTGCTTGGCCCTCAGTGAGCTGCAGCCTCAGTCCCAGGGCCCGCGCCTGAGCACCCAGCTCTCTCGTGGGCAGCGGCCCCTTACCTGCAGCATCGGGGATGCAGCCTCCTCCCCTTCATCCTCTTTGCCCTTACGCAGGCGCTGCGCCTCGTCCTCCCCTTCATCCAGGGGGATGCTGCGCAGTCTGGCCAGGAAGTTGTTAAAGATCATGTCCGTGCTCAGCACGTCCTCGCTGAACCAAACCATGCCGCAGCGCGACACGGTGGCCAGCGTCGCGTACTTCAGGTCCTGCACCTCAAACATTATCCGCACCTGGGGAGACACCGTTGCGCAGATGTAACATGGGGGAGGTAGAATCCTGGGTGTTGGTTCTCCACCTGCCCCCGGAGAGGGTGATGTCAATTAGATTTTCTATGTTCACCCTAAAGTAAAAATGGCTACACAGGACGACACCCACCACTGTTCTTCAGTGAACTGGGGCAGGATGTATGTGGGGGGGAGAAGAGCAGGTCAGACTGGGAGGCTTCGAGGCTCCCATCAGATGGGCTGGCAGCAGAACGGGAGTGTAGGGGCCTGCGGGCTGTGGCCAGCAGTGTGCAGCAACTGAGCTGGGCTATGGTCAGACGCTGCTCCAATGCACCACAGGCCTCACCGCATCCACTCTCAACTCCACTCAGAGACAGGCACCGTTGCCCATGGGCACACAGCTGGGCAGCTTATCCGAGGCCCCAGTGCCAGTGAAGAGAACACAGCAGCCTGAGTAAGCGCACACTTTCTGACAGGCACGGAGCGCCAGCGGCAGGTTCTGTGGGGGTGACTGCCGAGTCCAGCCCTTCTTGATAAGGGTCACGTGCAAAGGCCAAAAACTTGGCATCACCAACTCCTCTGTCTCTCACCTACATCCAGTCCATCATCAACCCGCCCGCACCACCTTTACTTGGAATCCAGAATCAGCCACTTCTCAGCATCTGCACCACAGCCACTTGTCCAGGTGGCCACCACCCATGAGCCAGGGCTACTGTAACAGCCTCTCTGTGCCTGACTGGCCTTCCTCTGCCAGCCTCCCAAAGGCAGCAGCAGGAGCTTTTAGACAGATCACATCACAATCTCACCATGGTCTGGTCTCTCTCCAGTCTCCAGGTCCTGCCCCCACACAGACATCCTGACTCTCTGTGCATATAGTCAACACATGGCCAACCACACTCCTGTTCCTGGAAGGCTGACACCTGCAGCGCTCACTCCACATGGGCTGAGTCTACCGGCACCCTCCTCAGTGCAGCCTGCTGGCCACCCGCCTCACTGAGCTCCTCCTC